ATTTCAAATTGCTGCAATTTCTTCTTCTCACGTGCGGCCGCCATTTCCCACTGTCAGCCCAAAATAAGAGCTCCCTCATCATCTCATCGGCGTCATTACTTACCCCTTTTGCTCTGCTCTGGGGGTGTTCTGAGGGGTGGAGATTATGAGAAATATTCCACCATCCCGGAAAGCCTACACATGGCCTCGGTTACAAACAAATCCTGTCAAATTCTGAAAGCTAATATTGATGATTTTTTCACAAATGGCAAATTTCATTTTTCATATGCGCCCCCCGAATTCCCACCCCCTTGCAAAGCACAGTGGAGCGGCATGTGCGCACAGATGAAACCACAACGCAATTCAATGTAATATTTTCGCCCAAAATTACACTCCGGCTGTACTTTGGAACGTTGCAGAGGAAATTAAAACAACCACAGTGACAGTCACATCTGGAGATCTATCAATAAAAGGCAGACTGGAAGTCAATTAGCCATAAATCATGGCACGACTTGAGCGTGGCACATGAGCTTTTGCGCCCGCGAAGCTTTGGTGGGATTTGGAAGATGTTCACCAGGAGCTTTTCGGCAATTTCATGAGTTGCAATCGAACGTAGAAGTCCTTTGTTTTGCACCTTTGGGGTCCTAATTGAGTTGTGATTTGTGAAAAATCCTTTCCCTACAGCCAATATCGATTTTCACTCCCCCTTCGTGGCTGACTTTCTAATAGCTTCCCAACCCTGTCATCCATCCTGCACTTTAGCCTTAATGTAGAGATATTGCGGGAAGCGCTTGAGTGGGTGAAATAGAGTTACTAATTTATTAATGCACAACTCCATAAGATCAATTCGCATATTTATGAGACTGTCACGAGAGTCTCGTCTTGTCACGGAAATGGAGAGCGATATTTACGGTGATTTGTCAAATTGATAGATTAAAGTGCTAATTTGTCAAGTGTGTCAATGGGATTGGAATGGACGGGATAATTGGAAAAATATGACGTCAAAATGAGTATTGCATGTTTATTGCCCATTTGCCGACTGCGGAGGGCATAAAGTGTCTCCTCCTCGAGACTTTTAGCATCACCGCCATTGAGCCATGTACTCTCGGGAATGCTCTGGGCACATGCTTGGCTGTATCTGAATTCACGAGCAAACACTTTGAATTGAGAAGCTGCTTTGTTGGTGAAGGTGTCACCCAGAATTCCGTAATTTATAGCATCCACCATATAACAATAAATCTAAAGTTACTTCAATAAATCTCAAAAGCGAAAGCCCAGTGTGTGTGTGCGCTCGTCTCTCTCTCATCCATGGCCATGTTCCTCGCATGTATGAAGATGGGATGGAAGCAGAAGTTGAGCGTGGAATGCACAAGCATCTTTATATCATTCTGGCCCCATAAAGATCGCCTTTTTTGTGTACACTTTGTATTTAATAACAACTCTATTAGGGCAACTTTGACGTTTCAGTCAATTCGCTCTTCCAGCTCCGCATCGTCAAGATTTTTCCACACCATAGAATCTAATTTTGCTCTCCACTGAGAACACTTTTCGCTCTCAGTCACTTGACGGATACACTGCACTTTTATGAGCTTTTCTGCGGGTGAAATGCCAGGGGGTGCACAGAGGCAAATGTCTGACGAACGATTGTGGGCTGAAGTACATATTAAATTGCCATCAATTTCTCGCGTTATTGCCATTTTAGGCTCCTCTAGACAGAATTAATCCCCGATAATCCGCTAATGAGCCACATGTTGACGAGAATTGCCGGTTGTGCGGTTCACCCCTTGTTGGGAATTAATTTCTACCCCCCCATTCGACTGGGGGAGAGATTCAGCGAATTTGCATCATTACTTAAGGTTGCCCGAGCGAAGGTGGAAAATGAGAAGTTTCTTTTGAAGTTGGTGATGGGGCAAAAAAGTCGGATATCCACTTTTCTTCTAGATGGAGAACAAAGAGGCGAAAGGCTACAGTCCGTGAGCTCATTGTGGATCAGCGAAAAGAGGTGAATTCATGGCAGAGACATTAAGTACAACTTCTACAGCAATCGAATTTGTGTAAATTTTCCTCCGTGGTCTGTGGCGCCCCTTTTTGCCACCCCCGGGCGCGGAAAGGAGTGAAAGGCAGCATAGTAATGATAGCTAATGCTCATCCAATGATGATCGTCTGATGTGCGCGCCTGAGAATCTTCAATTGTCTCTCGCAGACAATCATCCAGCCTCAAGGGGGCGCCGCCCAGGAGAGGAAATCGCATTTGTAATGAATAACGAAGAATACACATCCGATGGGGGGTGAGACTTAGGGGCAGGAGAGAAGGAATCAAAAACTCCCAGTGGGATATCACAGAATTTCTATGCCATGATTCTCATGGGATAATTAAGTTCATCGCACCACAACTCAATTCACTCCAGGCTCAACCCCCGCTTTGTTCGCCTCTCTCTCTCTCTTATTCAACACTCCGCCGCCTTCTCCGCACTTTGTTCTCAACTTTCACCGCGCCACACAATCACTTTCGTTGTTGTCTTGCGAAATTATCATTATTACATTGTTTCTGGGCGAGACGCCAGGAGAGCCGAGGAGATGCTGTGAAACAGTTATGAAATCATTAAATTAATAATGGCGGGACATCCGGTGGGGGGCTTTTGCCAATTGTACTGCAAATCACACCTCAATGGTGTCTCCTGGGCAGCTGAGGTGAGATAATAAACCTCCATCCAATTATCGAGAGGTCCTTCAGTCGGCTGAAAAAGATACTTTCCGCATTGTTGGGCACTTTATTGAAGATTCTCTGAAGCTCCGCCTACTCTGTTGCCCCGCCCATTCCCTGTTGTTTAGTAACTTTTTGGTTGCCTTAGTGATAAAAAAGTGAAGATATTGTCTTCTTGCGGCATTCATATTTATGTTTTACTCAATAGTTTACGTCCTGTGTTCCTTTTATACCCGATGTCAGCACTTCTCTGGATCTTCCAGAGCCCCTTTTGTCCCTACAGGATGAGCTGTAGATACTCATATCTTTATAATGACCCACAAACACACCCTTATCCGACACATCTCCTCAGACACTCCACCTGCAGACCGTATTTCTTTTATATCAAGCATCTTGGTGAGAATATCTGCACCGGCCTAAATCTGGGGCATGAATTAAATTTCCTCTCGTGAGAAGAGGCCCAGGCAAAAAATGCGGTGCGTAATCTCTGCCGCTAGACTAATTTGTATTCCGGCGTATGATGATAACATCATCATCTTGCAGGTCACAAAAAGCCCATACAATCCACTGACACGATATTTGAAAATTTGCTTGGAGGGCGTAATTAATTAGAAAGTGGTGTGAATAACAAATTAGTCCTTCACACTCAATCTTCTCTTCACGTGAAAAGATGACGGCAAAAAATAGCCACTACAGATTTCTCACGATGCTGCAAGATAGCGAATGAAGATACGCAGCAACAATGTGCTTGAGCAGCTGAAGCGAGTGAGAAGGGGTGCAAAAAGCGGATGGAGATGATCTAATCTCAGTGGTTTAACGTAAGATTCTCAAGTTGATGGGTTTGCCCGATATGGCGCTTTTTCTCACCCAACCTTGCGCTCCACTTCAGCCCTCTCGAGGAGCTTCCCTCTGCTCGGCAACAATGGGGGCGGGTGATACCAGGTGAGATAACAAAAAATAATCCGCCCGGGGGAGGCGGAGATCTGCCCCAAACAATTGAAAATAATGGATATGAGCGAAGTGATGCCCCGAACAAGGTGAATTTGTGCTGGAAGAACATTGAGTGTTGTGCTATTTTTCCAACGGGATTTCCCCTCAAACTTGTGCTGACGTGGCGATTCCTTTGCATCAACGCCACTTTTCATGAGTTTCCAATGTGCAAATCTCTCCGGCCTTCGTATCGCAAAAATGCTTGTACATTAGGAAGAAATGGGAGATAATAAAGCATCCCATCGCCGCCCTTCCTCGGCGAATGGGCGGCGATGGGTGGCAACGCGAGGGCGACTGTTTGAGGGTATTAATCACAAAATCCGTGCTCAAGGGCTCAGCTCAAGACACCATCTTTTAAATCCCTCTCCACACGTTGTTTTTGTGATAATCCGACCCTCCGCGTCTGTTCCTCGTGGCGTCTGCAATTTTTACTTTAATCCATTGTTTCTCCCAAGCACAAGTGACAAAATTAACTGGCTTTAGTATCATTTCGCGCGCGCACAGCGAACAGAAAAAAAACCTCCCACAAATTAATTCTTTTAAGTGCATTTTTCACTATGAAACAATTATATTTCATTGCACAATGACTGCTGTGTGGCATTCAGCGTGGACCATCAAAAAATATTTCAAGCAGCGAAATAAACAATTAATTAAGCGTGCGCGTAAATTGAGTAAATTTATCTGTTAATTGTACAAATAAATAAAACATATTATTGCAAATTAATTATAACTCAAAATAACTTAGCACTTGTGCATAAATTTCAATTATAAAATTTTGTGAAAATCAAATTACCTCCAGTTGTCCTTATTTACAGCCATAAAATGATAATTGAATTTATCGCACTCGACATATTTTGTTGATTTGGATAATGTGCACTCGGTGAATTTTTATCAACAAATTAACAATTGCTAAAGTGATGGTTCGAAAATTAAATCCGCCATGCAATGAAAGCTCATTATAGTTTGTCGACAAGTGTTTTTCAGGGAAGTTATTATTGAAAATCGCATTTATCTAATTACAATCACAATATATTTAATCATTTTCTCGAGGGATTCAAAAGAAACAAGATTTCTTAAATTTTCAGATTTCAATAAGGAGCCGAAATGAACGAGTTAATGAGAGTTCAGGTGAACGTAAGAGAAAACAGTGTATTTCTCACCTTGCGATCAAGAGTTTGAGTGTCTCGACTGTGTTTTAATTAAAGGTACAAACTCAGAGAATCTGCGAGAGAGAGAGAGAGAGAGTGTGCAAACAATAGCGATATCTCACAATTATAGCAAAGATTGTGTTAATTAACATGTCGGATGGGTTTTGTTGTCCCGGCAGGTCCCGCCTTTTGGGGTCTGATCAACCCAGAGTGGTCGTTATGCAATAAGGGCAGGAGACAATCACCAGTTAATTTAGAGCCACAGCGTCTGCTATTCGACCCAAATCTAAGGCCTTTACATATCGATAAGCATAGGGTAAGTGATAATTGTGCATGTCGCTCGCACATCTATTAATTGGCAAATGCCATCCTGGGCGCATGTCTCCGTTGCAGATAAGCGGCACAATTGCAAACACGGGACACAGTGTCATATTCACGGTGAACAATGAAACGGCAACGGCCTACGAGGGACCCCAGATCCCCGTCAACTTCAGCGGCGGCCCGCTCTCGTACTTGTATCGATTCAATGAGATTCACATCCACTATGGCCTTCACGATCAGTTCGGGTCGGAACACAGCGTCGAGGGCTATGCATTCCCCGCAGAAGTAAGTGCACCACTCTGATTTCTCTCTTCCCAAATACACACTCTGGAGGCACTGTTTGCCTTCCCCGAAGAGCATGATGCAATTTCACCCCATCAGCCAACTAACGACCAACGATGCCATTTTACAGTCAGAAATACGCTTTTGCAAACACTCCATTTTATTTCCCTAATTGCGATATGTACACACTTCATTCTTCATCATAACTTAGAACTAACAAAAGTACTTCATATGTTTTTGAAACATTTTCTTTTTGAAAGATAATATATATAACTTTCTATTAAGGCTATTAAGTATTTAATATACTATTGAAAATTGCAATAACATGAACAAATTGATCAAAATTTGTCTATCTTCCAATAAAATCTTCTTTTAATACTTTATGAAAATTTCAAAATATGAAAAAAATATTTTTCCGCGCTAACATAAGTTCATTGAGTCTAGAAAAATTTCTGCATCACTTGTATCAATATATCAATTGTATTAATTAACTTCTGCTCTGAAATGGATTGGGAAGACTCTATTCTACATTATCCACCGATTTCGAGCAAATTTTTTTTCGTATTTAATTCAATATTTTTTATTTGAATATCAATTGATATTGTGATTAATAAAACTGCAATTAGTACATTTAAATGCCAAAAAACACTAAGCTCTCTAGCGAAGAACAACTACATATTAACTGATATGTAAATTACGCAGCCAAAATTAAGAAATAAGGTATTTTATATGAGTGTGAGAATTCGACTTGCCGGTTCCAATGGCCCCTTGGAGTCAAGAACTTCCACCTGAACTGAATATTGAGGATGATATTCACGCAAATGAGACTTGCGAATAACGATAGTGCTCAAGACTACATTACAGTTGAGATCGCTATTTCATCAACGCCTCCCCCGGATGATTTTGAGGATATTGATTCCCCACTTGATCTCAATGATGAAGTTATTGAATTCGACAGACCAGTAATTGCCAATAATCGAACGCACACATCTCCTCACCTGAACACTGAATTCATTCTGATGAGATCTTCGTCTCCTTATGAGGAGGAAGAGGCTCTTGATTTCACCCGAAGACCCAAGGAAGACAGACATGAGATGCCAATCATTCGCAAGAGACCCTATTCTATGATTGGCGGTCCTCTGGATCTCACACATCCTTCAGTGCCTTACAGTCAGCTACGATTTGGGGGAGTTGAAATTCATCGCCCATTGCCTAATCCACTGGCTTTCCAAAAAACATCAAAGTTTAGCCGTTGAGTATCCTCAACTATTCTCACAGGATCGCCAGAGATGGAGAAGTTTTTATTCGGATACTCAAACATGTGAAGTTAACGACTTAAAATACTGCATAGGTGGCCAATGAAAAAAAATTAGGAACTATGAGTGGACTGAAACGCCACTTTTTAGTAACAAGTTAAGAAATTTAAAAGAAACCCCTTTTGGGTACTGTTATAAAGATAGTTTAAGCAGAAAAGACGAAGTAGTATTAAATAGGATTAGAATAGGCCATACAAACATCCAGTTAAACGAAGAAGCAGACAAAACCGCAAAAGATGCGACAGAAGTTTTTTTCGGATACTCAAACATCCCTTCTACAATTGGCATAATTGGTAAGATAAATTATCAATCTAGTAAAAACGTGTGGCATATATGTAATGTTTAATGTAAGTCCACAAATATTCTTTCATAGATGGGACCTATGTTTGATTTGTGCTGTCTCACGAAATGAATGATAGACCTTATTATAATAGGAAAGGCTATCACAGCCTTAATGTAGCACTGATATGTGTTCATGAAGGAAAATTCATCTGCGTCGACGCTAGATATCCGGGCTCAACGCATGACGCCGGAATCTGGCAGTTAAAGATTAAAGATTTCATGATTGGCCTTTATCAGAGAAATGAGAGGTGCTGGATTTTGGGCGATTCTGGATATCCCCTAGAACCATGGATGATCGTTCGTTACAGGAATGCGGTAACAGAGAATGCTCATAGATTCAATGGTGCGTTCTCAATGATTAGAATAACAGTCCAGAATTCTACTGGAATTTTGAAAAATCTATAGAGGATTCTGTTGTCGACAGAGAGAAAATTGCGATACAGTGTTAATAAATTAATTCCTATGATAAATCTCTGTGTCGCTCTGCACAATATATGCAAGATTTTTGATTTGCCAGAAGCGAATATAATTATTTCACATCTGGTGTTTTATGGCCTGGTTTTTCCGCCGCGTCTCTTCAGGTATTCTGAATAAGTGTTTGCTTTTGTGCAAAATGAGTGAAGAAAGTGGTGAAAAGAAACTCCTCGTTCAATTTATCCTTAAATTGAAAACAATCAACATAAAATCACAAACACTAGACGAACATTCATATAGACATTTTTAGTACTAATATGCAAGCGGTGCAATAGGGAAAATTTGGCATTGTGTCAATTGTATTGACAAAAACAGATAAGTACTCTGGCCGAAATTCCAAGAAACATTGGAAGACGATGCCAGAGATCTAATATGTAGCACCACACTCCCACCCCAAGTGCAAAATATGCCCGCACGGGAGTACCTGAGTATTTCGTGGCATGGCCACAATCGGTGGTAGCGCCGCTCACCCGGGGTCGAACTCTTGTGCGCAGGATTAGTTGGTCATGGGAAGAGGAAGTGACAGGATCTCTTCCTCCCAGTAGTCAAGTCGTCGGGGACATGCACACGGAGGGGGGTTCTTCGGGTGAGTGTGCCTTGACTGAGCTCCCTCTGAGCTCAGATCCTATCCTACACGGGACCCCCGGAGCGGATTCTTGGTAGGGGCAGGGTAGTGCTTCTACATATAAGAAGTGGGATACCCTCACGTTTCGCGGAAGAGGTATCCAATAGTAGTGAATACTCGCGAGTGAAAAAAAAAATTGTGAATTACGCGTGTGGCACCGCGGTGAATCAATCAAGACAAAAGTGAACCATAACAGTGACAGTGCAGCCAGAGAATCACCGTGGGCATCGACTGCAGGCGGGAGACCCACGGAGAGCACCATGGAGCAGCAATCATCAATTGAGAGAACACCCGAGCTTCATCATCATCGAGGATCATCAAATGAGCAGCTACTGCGAGCAGAGAGAATAAGGAGTTCCGGAAATCACCAGAACAACGCCACAGAAACCAGGATTAAAGGAAAGAAATAGTTTAGCATGTATGATGCGTGAAAGTGGAGCTCCACAAGAATGTGTGCATACCTGATTGAGTGGATGTTTGTTAAATTTGCTCATAAGCCGATCGTGTTCTCTCTGTAGAAATAACTCGCTGGACATCACGGCGACGGTAGGACGCCCCACCACTGCTTTGGTGGACACTGGAAGTGACATCACACTGGTCGCCGAGGACACGGCTCGTGAGTATGGTCTCCCAAGGGTGGGGGAGGGTATCTCATTCAAAACTTATGGGGGTCATTCAGAAAACTCGCTATGGACAACTCGGGCGAAAGTCACAATCGACCAAGTGACGCGCCCCATAGACATTCATGTCGTGAAACACAAAATGCAAGGCCGCCCTTTGCTGATCGGGAAGAATTTCTTGAACTCTCCTGGGGTGATATTAACCTTAGCTGAGGGAGGTGTCTCCGCGCGCGAATCATCCGGGGGTGCGAGCAGTGACGAGATCAATATGTTGGAAAGCGCTCGAGAAAGGGATCAGTCGCCAATCAGGGCAGAAGAAATAACAGTGGGAAATTCGGTACGGATAGAAGAGAAGAACGCGCTCGTGAATCCATTGAATAAATATCGAAAGGGATTGGCAAAGAATCCCTTTGAATTGAGACACACTCAAATAGAACAAATGCAAATACGCCTGAAGGACAACACCGCGATCTGACAGGCGCCATATCGCGTTCCCTATCATTTCAAGCAAAAAGTCCAGGATGAAATAGAAAAGCTAATGTCGAACGACATCATTGAGAAATCATACGGCGAATACGCCAGCCCCGCGCTGATTGGAAGTCTGGAAGATCGCGGCCATGTTGAGTTGAGTTGGAAAGTGGAGAAGGCAAAGGCGACCACGCGACAGTGAAAATCATTTAAAAAGTAAAATAAAGTGAAATATTGAACTAATATAGACAAGGTGTTGTTGTTAGTAGCAAGGCGAGTGAAGGAGTGTGCTGGCAAGCAAATCAAGGAGATTGCGACGTTCTGAAAGGGGAAATCCGGTCAATCGTGCCGGATTTATCATTCCCTTTTCAATTGCAGGTGCGACAATCATGCAGATAAACTAGAGAGTCAGAAGGAGTCTAATCGTATCTTTTCCATTACAAAGGTGGGACATTCACGCAGATAAACAAGAGAGTCAGGCGAATTCTAATCGTATCTTTTCCATTACAAAGGTAATCAAACCTCACAAGCGCAATTGATTGGATTGGATGCAGAAATTTTTCTAACGACCTATCTTAAGTCTTCAAACATAATTTCCTAGGATTTTATATGAATTTCTGATACTACATAATTTTAAACATTAACTTTTCTAAACTTAGAACTTCTTTGTAACTCACGATAGTTGATGATGGTGACATATTTGTCGAAACGTTACTACGATGAATAAACACACCTGATAAATAGTCTGCTATTCCGATACTTTTCCTCATGATCTTCAGCACAGTCGTTAATTCAACATCGTCACGATAGTTGTTTCTGCAGATCGGCTTCTTGGCAGATGGCGACATTTCACAGGATACAAGAAGACTCACGTGGTGATTCTCTGATAGCTTTGGCTGCATTTCTCCGTGAACTCAAAGAGAGGTTTCCGCGTATAGAACACGGTTATAATGACTTGGAGTTTGATATCTTCTCGCTAAGTTTCCGATGATTTCCAGCATTATTTCCTCTTTGGCCTCCTGAACAGGCACACAAGGAGCGTTGTCCCAGCTGGTTTCTGCGAGAGTTGATTGCTCAGACTCAGTCTGAGTTTCACAGTTACAATTCACAACACACTTCGAGCACATGTTTGATCTGTATGAATGTATGTTGAACTGGATGTTCACTCTTCAACTTTTCAGCAGCAAATGAAATTGTCCTTCCGAAACGTGGTCTTTTATAGGCACCGAATTTCTACCTGATTGACCTGAAAGACAGAATTTTTGGAAGGATCTTAATTACTTTGAACGGTCGTCTTTTTCTACCTTTAGGATTAGCCTCAAGGCTGGAATATAATAAGGTTGGGATCGGACTGTAAAAGTCCATAAAGTCCCAGGCATAAGATCCCTAGAAAAAGAAGCAATCGTGAACATAATGTCTTGCAAACTTTGGCCGTTTTCTGGAAAATGTAACGTTCGTTTTCACATTGTGCTCACTGTACGATTATGACTCGAGAAATCTATTACGGTTTAAGCTCTGCAATCAGTCTGAGCACTGCTGGTTTATTTCAAATTGATTGATTGTTTAATCACGGCAATTCTCATCGTCTGGAACGTAGAATTGCTTGGCAAACACACCACAATATCTTCATAAGAGCGAATTTTGCTACACCTTGCAAGCTTTTCTTACCTTTTGCACGTCATTTAAGCAAAATCCACGAGGCTGTCTGTGCAAAAATGTACTGGAAACTTTTAACTCAATTCACATGGGAGTAAATGTATAGAAATTGTGCGGAAATTTCCACTTTCTCACATTCTATACTCTCACTTTCATCCAAGATACGCCGGAAGGGTATAATTTAATTCTGCCAAAATCAATTTAACTCATAAACAAATTAATTTACCTCCCACAGGCGGCATATTTAAAGTTGAATGCCAATTACAAGGAAAGTTACTAGACGAGAAGGTGATTCATTCTCATGATAATTCCCATAAGTTTTTACACCATCGTCCATAATTCAGTGGCGAAATTGCCACAAATTTACCGCATGAGCTTTAATCTCGAGGGTCTTCGAGGATGGTGTGAAAAATTTCAAAAAGTTCCGTTGCACTGAGAAAATAGAGAGCGAATTTGCGATGAAACTTCCGCCTTGACTAATGGCGGTGTGTTAAAAACGATAGAATATTGCATCCTATCCGTTTATATTAGACGCCAAATTTATGGATTTTTATTCAATTTCAATTTGGATTCATGAGGGAAATCATATGTCATTTTCCAGTCCAAGTGAGACGCTGATTTTTGCCCTGAGTGTTAATAAAACACCATTAAATATTTCAGCATTCAGCCGTCTTGAATGCTGGATTAATTGTCCAATAATAAATCATTTGGCGAGTTGACTGAGCTCCCACAAATTATTTCCGACGAATTAATTTTGTAATTATAGAATTATAGCACGAAAATTCACGAGTGAGAAGAGCTCCTCGAGACGATATCAGTTTCAAAAGTAAATAAGAAGTCCCTCCTTAATTATCAAAAGTGAAAACGATGGGCTCTGATGCCATCCCACTTTGATTTAATGACTCCCGAACCCCCAGAGTAGACAATTCGCTGTGATAAAATCATTTTTCTTCACTTAACAGCTCAACATACAATTTGACGATTAAGGATTTGAATCAGAGGCCGGATTTTTAGATGAGAGATGTGAGAATTCCTTCTAAGAGCAGCGAAACAAGTGGATTTTATCTAAATCTCCCATCTAGAAAACTGTTCTTCTGCACAATCAAATTTTCCCTCTTTCTAAACACCGTCTTTGGAAGTTATTCGCCTCAACACTGATTACGAAAATAAATAGATAAATGAGTAAATATGGCGCAAATCTAGGAAAACACTCGGAAAACCTGACGTCATGAGAGCCTTCAGCACGAGTGGGTGTAATTTAAATCCTGTGATGGCGGGAATTGTGTAAGATAAAAGTGTACAAGATTTCTGCATCGTGCCTCGAGAGTGTGTATTTAGGGAAATTTTTTGGCAAAGGAGAAAGCATGGCAGTGAATATGGAATGAGGCGCAGGAGAGATGAAACGAATTTTTGTGCTAAAATAAATGTGTTGATTTTGCAGATACAAATATTTGGCTACAATTCACAGTTGTACTCAAACATATCGGAAGCCTTAAATCGTGCTCAGGGTGTTGTCGGCATTGCAATTTTGCTTCAGGTAAATAAAAACCAATTTCCACATTTTTATAGAATGTAACTGCTTCTATCGGAGGATAAAGTGCAAATATTTACATAATGTTCTCCCCTGCCTGACACACGACCAACGGCAGAATCTCCCTTTGGTATTTGCCCAGTGCTCAGCTTTTGAGTGGACGCAAACCCGTGCAAAAATGCTAGAAATATGATTTCAAAAGAATTACACTCCATATGTCCCTTCGCATTGTGTGACAACTTCAAGAGGACTAGAGATGAATGGTGGAAAAAAGCGGGGGCGAAGAACATCGTGGAAATTAATGTTATTTTCTTGGAGCATAAAAGTAATTTTCAACTCGCCACCCCTTGAGTAGAAATGACTTGAAGCGTATATTACATGTCTCCACAAATTATCTCCTCGCCATCCATAAATTAAATGCCACCGCACTCCAGCGGGAAAGCTCGTGAACACATCTGATTAAAATTTTGCAGTCTTCCATGAAAAATATATTTAAAAACTTGTCTGGATTTACATAATGACTTGCAGCGCTCTGCAGAGCGAGAGAGAAGAGAGCTTTAATCTTCTCATATCGCGCGCTTTCTATTGAATCACCCCGTGAGACACGGAGCTTTTTCGCACACATGAAAAAAAGCCATAAGCAAATGTTTGTTGAATTTATCTACCTTTAATTATCTGTCGCTCAAGTATATTAAATTTCATACACAAAAAAACTTGACAACAAATTAAGAATCCCTGTGAAGAATTTAAGCAAACTGATAATCGATTTTCAACAATTTAATTCAACAATGTGACCATTAATTGCCTTTCATATTGAATATTGAACACTCTTTTGGCGAATTAAATTAGTTGTAAATATTTTTTTCATAGCTTCATGCAGAAAACGTGGCAAATTGTTAATCAATGGGAATATTGATTGATCTGCAATTTCAGTTGGGCGACTTGTCCAATGCCGAGCTGAGAATGCTCACGGATCAGCTGGAGAAAATCCGCTTTGGGGGCGACGTAGCGCCCGTCCGGAGGCTTTCAGTCCGCGGACTTCTGCCCGAGACGGACCACTACATGACTTATGAAGGTGAGTTATAACAGCCCCATAATTCTGTCCCGGCAAAAGAGTGCAATTTGTCTTCTGTCCACATGTGCTGCTGCTGCTGTGATGGAAAAATATGGAAAAAGGCTCCACCACGTCGCCCGCGTGCCACGAAACGGTGACCTGGATCGTCCTTAACAAGCCAATTTACATCACAAAGCAACAGGTAAACAAATATGATTATGATAATGCGCGAGATGATAAAGCAATTTGAATTTATTTGCACAACGACAAGAGAGATGCTCCTCGTGTGCCGAGACAATTTGCCATCAGTGGGAGATGCTCGTGAAAATCACCTCAAGTGCTTTTTATTCCAACCCCCGCACGACGTCTCGGCGCGGGGGTGGCGAGAAGGGGCGAAAGCACCTGAAATATAGTGGGACATTCATGTGAAAATAGTGAGCAAATTGAGTTCATTTGGGGTTGGAATATCTTCGAATGGCATCGTGCAAGTCTTCAATCCGCCACAGAGTTCCTCTTTACACGGCATTTACCACGGGTATCATCATCATCACGGTTCCTCTCTCTCGATTTCGAGCGCCCTACACAGGATGAAAACACTTTCGTGTTGATTTACGGAGACCAATTTTCCGGCATTTTAACAGAACGACGTCAAATCTACGACATGATTTCCAAATGAGGACTATCCCTTCCTGCCTCTTCAACGAAAACTACCATCCCACTGACATTATTCATACATGCCAACCTCACATTTTATCGTTTGATGAATGTGGAGACATTTTGAGAATATGGATATAAAACACATTTGTATTCCACCAAAATCTCCTCTTTCTCCACATCATCCCGACGAAAGCGCGGCCCGCTTTTTCCCCCCTCCAACACGGGCTCTTTTAGTTTGGATATGCATAGAAATTAAATTAATTATTTACAATACGGAATATTAACGGCTGAATTAATTACATCTCCCATTATCATTAAAATTACATATAACAAGGCGGGGAGCAATGTGTGGCTGCGATGAAGATTGAATAGAAGCCCATGCGAGAGCATATTTACGAAAATTTTCACCACAATATTCCTCAGATAATTAACCACATTTTCCCCGTGAGGATATTCATACGAAAAATCTCGGTGGGAAAACTTTCTGTTTGCACGTTTTGTCTTGTTCTCTCATGGGATCTTGAGTGCTCGCAACGTTTGCATTATGTCGCATTAAATAGTTTAATTCGCTCTTCCTAAAGACATGAGAAAAGGTAATCCTATTTATAAACACATAAAAGACCGAAGAAAAAATATATACAGCATTTTGCTCTGCAATTTCTTACTAAAATGTCCAGAAAATGAGGAATTTCTCATTGATATATGACAGAAATATCGAAAATTTAGTGCCAAAAGGCAAAATTGGCTAAATTTAATGTGTCCTAGATTAGACACACAAATAAAGTAATTTATCAGGAATTTAAGAATTCAAGGAACAATTTCAGGTCCTCTAAAACGGTCAAATTCCTAATCCTTTGAATTACAACATTTGTCACACTTGGAGAGAAAATATCTAGTCGTTGTATTTTGACACATTTGGGGGTTTTCCGAACATCTGACACATCAGTAAAAGCAGTAAAAGCTTGTTTCGGAAATATTTCTTCATTAGCATTTTATCCACAAATTTTTCATTATACTTTCCAATGCTATTTAGAGCGCCGTGCCAATTTAAATTAGCACAGTTTGACGAACTTATACTCCATTTTGCGATGATTTTAATCAGTTCAACAAATAGTTAAATCAGCGATTTTATAAGAAATTAATTTAGTGGATATTGTTTGTCATGACTAACGTCATGGGCTTTAATCTGGAGAACGAATTGGAATTTTATCCGTGATGTGCAAATGAGGGAGGCTTTTTTCATGATCTGCCCTGTGCAAACACTCTCTGTCTCCCTTGCTCAGTCTGGCTTTATCGAAATTGATGGTCGCTTTTGTGCCGGACGATGATTATCTCTTCAATTATGTATGCAAAATTTATACCCTGTTGATTTTAATAGGGTAGAGAGCTATATGATCACCCATACTTTGCAATTACGGTGTCAAATGTTAATGAATCCTGTTCAATATTGTCATCATCATCAATGACGGGTTTCACCCAATTTTCCCAGTGTGCTCCGCCATCCCCCATCCGGGGTGGGGACGCTCTGCGACATGTGACATCGATGATGGGTGCATATTAAATTGTTATATAGTGCCATACGGAATGAAGTCAGGCCCGCATATGCCGGCGAATATATTTCATAGAAATATAGGGCAAAAAATCACCCATCCGCCTTCGCGTTCTAATTGATTTTCCGACGGATCATTTGGATAATTCACCCGAGTCATTGGCGAATCACTGGTTTCGGCGTCATCATTCATTATCACAGATTGTCATTTACATTTGACAAGGGCGATACGTGATATGTTGGAGCGCAGCGGACAAATCAAGAGGGACATTGCAGTGCGTTTTCCCGCAGTAATTTGCTAAAACATCAGATGCGGAGAAACCATCGCGACTCACACCCCACAGACACTGCGCGCCTCAAGTCCGCGGGGGGGTGGAAAATTAAAAAACTGTGGCCACACGAATGTACTCAGCGTAATCGCCGAAAAAACCCAACATGCACAGAACTTTTAAGCACACACACACACTGGGCCAGGGAAGCCTGGATGGATGAAAGAAAGGGCTAAAATGCAAACATGAGATTACGTTCAAAGGACATTTTTAATTAATTTCCTCATGCATGGTGGAAGCCATTGAAAAATTTCCAGGATGAACAAAAAAAGCGGAAGTTTGTACCAACTCAGAAAAGCCATTTGGGCTATAGAGACTGAGAGGAGCTTTGAATTGCATTTCATCTCAAAAGACGACGGATATGGATTTTTTTTCACATCGCGCACTCTTGCAAATCACATAGAAATAATTCATAATTCTAAATTGTGTGCTGTTTGACATGAAGCGTACTTTTTTCCAGCTGCACGCCCTTCGACGCCTCATGCAGGGTGGTCCTGATCACCCGAAAGCTCCGCTGGGGAACAACTTTCGACCCCCGCAGCCGCTCCTCCACAGGCCTGTTCGTACAAACATTGATTTTCGCAGCAAACAAAATGGCAAGGCATGCCCCAGCATGTACCGGGATGTTCACTATAAAGGTACGCTTCCCTCAGTTCACATATTGCAAATGCAATTTACATAATTATTTATTTGCCCCCCCCTCATCCTCACCCAAAAGCCCTCCCGCCGCGGCGAATGTGGGGCCGCGATGTGCGCCGACGAGGCTTCAGGTTGACAGTAGATTTAGCGGGAAATAATTGGTAGATTTTCAAAATCATAAACTCAACCGTTCACGGAGTCGTTGCAACTTCAATTTCATATCATTTTAAATAAGCTGTCAAAGCTATGAATTCGTAAAACTGCGTTGCGAGATTGCGATTCATAACATTAACGAAAGTGGGAAAATTATTTTCTGCGAGGTCCGAAATGTCGGAAAATTCACGTGAAAATCAAGAAAATAGACAGTAAATATGTTTTAATGGTGATTAGCACAGTTTGATTGGATTTTCGCTTTCCCAACTTCGCCTTCCATCGTCATTTGGTTCGTATTTCGTTCGTACTTTACACCAGCGCCGCCTTGCGGCCTCTAATATAAGTTGCCAAAAGCAAGAAGCAAGTTGCATGCCAAATTCGAGCTTTCACTAACTGAAATACGAAATCTGTAATGTTTGCAATGACTCTTAAGTGGGCAAATAAAGTGTTCCATGAAGGCCAATTTGCTCTTTTAAATCTTTTCCACGTTCAACCCTCGAGAGGCTTTTCCTCGTGCAGCACAGATTATGTTGTCGCCATGCGGGCTTACATATTTGGCTCACATCTCTGGAGAAAGAGTTTAGAAAGAGGGGGCAAAGCTTGCGGGAGTTCTCCGCATTGGGGGTCTTCTTCCAGTGTTATTAATTTAAACTTTGTGATTTATCATTGTTGCAATAATGCATGAAATATTATTGGCCTTTCATGTGGAGATAACTTGTACTCCCATGTGAGACAAGGCCCAGGCAAATACCTCTGCTCCCAATTATTCAAAGTCACTCGCTTGCTCCTTTCCTGTTCACCTTCTCAACAACATTTTTTCCCCTTCGACTCCACTTCCGCCTTTAACAATATTGAATTAAATGTTTGTTCTCCATTTTCGTGAAAACTTTACTCATTACGCGCCAACATCGGGAATTATTTATAATGTTGGAGTGTAATGTGCCGCGCCCGTAAAAGTTGGTACTGTTGGGAGAGAAAAAAAAAATCCGAAGTTCACAACTTATTTCTCTTTTCTGCATACAGCAAACAGTTGGAAGCAACACTGAAGTTGTGTACTTCTCATCCTCATCATCGTCACGGTGAAAATCCCTAAATGGTACCGGAGAGGACACATTCTCGAGTGTTTGTTGTGCACCAAGAGAGCGACAAGAGGAGCGAGACATGAAAGCCAAATAAGAATTCTTCAACTTTGGAGAATTTCCTTCCTTGTTCTGCGTTTTTTTTTCACTCCCGCCCCAACAAGTTGCCCAGAGAGTGAAAGACATGAAAGTTACGGCGAAGCAGACGACGAGAGAGCAAAAAAGGTCAAAAGGCCACCAAATGTTGAGTGATTTTGCAATTTAATTGATGAGAAAATCTCCTCTGCCGGAAAGGTATGAAAATTTCCATCGATTTTCCTCTTTAAGAGGGCCACGCGGAAAGAAAAAAAAAATGTGAGGAGCTCCGGAGAAGAAGCGGAGAAAGCTGGAAATTGGGTGGGAACGAGAATGGAGTTCTATTGTAAATATTAGTGTAATAAAGCAAAGTATGGTTAAGGAAACAAACTCTCTCCGGCTGAAGAATTCTCAGAGAAGATTTATCGAGTAAAATTTTGTAGTTCCAAACAGCTACACTCTAGATAATTAAGTAGTGAATTAAGGGCGGACGCAGTGGATCGATGACAAGAGTCCCCTTGAATTGGCCAAAGTCGCTTGAATTTCTTTCTTTTTTTTTTTAGGTGAATAAATCCCATTTCCAGAACACCTCGACGATCCACACTGTGAATTGGGAGTAAATAGTAATAATAATATGGATGAAAAAAAATCGAAACGAGGGAGTTTTGATGGAAGATGTTAGCAAAGGAAATGAAATCAAACAATAAAGAAAAACTATATTCATCACAAGGGGAGAGAAAAGTGAACAAAACATGTGTTTAGGATACAATTTGTAGAATTACTGAAGCATAGAGGATAAAATTGATAAACATATCATATTTTCCATAAAAGAGAAACAGACAAAAAAACCATAATTATACTACCAACTAAAGAACAAAAAAAAATAGCTTGAGAGAAGAAACTCCCATATGATTCATATAAATTAAGTGTTGCTTTCCGTAGAAAAGAAAAAAAGTCCATCATATCGTCAAAATACTATCATAGAAAACTTTAAGTAGAACTTAGACGAGATTTACTATTCCACCAAGTAAGGAGAAAGGAGCTGAATTGCCCACTAGAGCTGACATATCCTGTTTTCTTTTGTAAATCTTACCATATACAATAAGATCACTGTTTAAGGAGTAAAAGAGAAAAAAAAACATTGAGAGGCTTCCAGATATAAAATTTGTACGATATAATGAAGAGAAAGTTAATCAGTGAGAATCCACATTGTTAAAAAAAAGAGACAAGAAAGACGTGCATATCGTAAAACTCTCCCAAAATTTGGCTTCTAAACTGACCTCAGACTTAAAACAATTAAACAATTTTACAGAGTTTATTTAACATCTCTCCTGTAAAATCCTCCTTTTGATGATAAAAATGCTAAAATGCCTTTTGATATTTAGATGAAAGAGAGAAAGTATAACTTATAGTGCGTCTCGGCGAGACGAGAAAATTGCTCGACTCTTAAAAAAAAATTTCCCAACGAAGTATAAAAAGCCAGAATATATGTTAAAAAAAATGTTTGTGTATTGATAGGAGTGATGATGAAACCTTAACAGAGTAAATGCTGAAACTATTTCAATTACCGAATCAGTTTTTTTTTTGTTTTTTTCATAAGTTAACAGAGAAAATTTCTATACGAGAATTGTTTCTGTTTTATCTGTGAATAATAAAGAAGGATGAAGTATTAAAGAGAAACTTTTGCACTGTGTTTCCACGCTAAAACTTTCAGTTGTAATTTCAACCTGATTCCACCTTCAACCCCCGTCTGAAGGCCATTCATGCCTCTTCGCCCAACTTTCAACTGATGCAGTGCCTGAAAAGTGTGTGACGGCAATAAAAGTGCACAAAAGAGAGTAAATGAGTTGATATTCTGCAGATGAAAGCTTCAGGATAAGTATTGAGGCCATTTCAAATGTTTCTCAATTCGAAAGGGCGAAAACGTCAACGATTTTAGACGGTTTTCTGATATGAAAACCACAAAATCTTTTCTTATATCAAAGAATTATGGGTGTTAAACTAATTCTTTGACTTCACAGGGTCTATTTTCATTCATTAGCGGAAAATCTGATGTAAAAATTCCCAAATTGGATGACATTTTTCAATCGTTTCTGCGATTTCGAGGAATTTACTATTTTCTTTGTAACCCCTTGATTTCAAAAGAAGTTGATCCAACAAATAAAATTATATAGTTTCAGTGAATGAGCGAGGAAATTTCACATTTTCTCACTTCACATTTCATTTCATCCAATCCAACTGCTCTAGAACTATTTGCTCTTTGTTCTAGTTAACGTTTTCGGGTGAATTATTGGCATTAAAGCAAAGAAAACATTAAAATCGTGAGATGGAAAAATCACACGAATTTGAATGGTTGACGCAGTGTTTGTATTCGCCGCTAGGATCGCAACTGTGCTCGAATCATGTCCAAAATAACGACTGTGTCACCCCGAGAATATAACGTGTAAAAGGTAAGTTTAGTGTAAAAAGCAGACGACTTAGAACACTTTGATCGGAATGCCAAAGAAGTTTAGTTTCGAAAGCTTTCACTTGTACAATGGCGTTTTATCTATTCGCGCTGAGTTCAACTCTCTGCATCTCTGTCCACTGCTATTTATCACAATCCGGCATTCTGATAGTGAGTTTGTGTGTGTGTGTGAGCGGGTGGCGGAAAAAAGAGGCGGAAGGGCGATGGGGTGGGTGTTTTCGGACGCCATGAGAGGGTATATTGCCATGGAAGTGAATAACGGAAGTGAAGCGATTAAACGAGAAAGTGAAAAGCTCAACATCATGATGACGAGTAAACAGTAAATGGAATCGAGGTGCGAAATACAAATAAAGTGACTCCCCCTCGTCCTCACGTGAACTTGCGGTGTGTCCTCGGCGGTGAAAGGCACCATCCTGGGCATCGTGAGTTGCACACTTGGCGTCCCATCTCTCTCGCAACAGCGCGCGTCTTCATCCCAGGCGCTGGGCGAGATGAATGACTAAACGGACCGGAAAAACACATTCCATCATCTGCAAACCATGGACATCGTTTATATCCTGGACATATATTGCATAGACAGTGGGTGGCATGTGGCGTCATTTGCCAAAGCGGCCCTCTCATGCCCTCCACACCACGGCGGCGAGGATGAGCGTGGAGGGAACATATGCGATTTGTGTTAATTCCCACGCTGGAACGTATAATTGAAACCTGTCCGCATTATTGTGATTTATGTTAAGCCATTCATTCCAATAAAGAAGGAACGACACGGCCAGAGAGACCAGCCAGCAGCGTCGCTTGCATGAGGCAGCAAGAAAGTGGCCCAAGAAGTGCTGCATGAGACCGAGTGAATAAGTTTCGGAAAAGAAACTCACTCTCCCGCCGCCGACAAGCGTCGAGCGCCCGCAATATTATTTATATATGCAAAGAGATAGCACGAGGTTGGGAAGTGATTGTACATTTTGCAAGAAAGCAGGAACCCCCAAGTTGGCGGAACAGAGCCTTGTCCCGCTGTCCCACCCCAAATGCGCCTCGCAGTGAGAAATTAGGCGGAGTCGAGCTGGGACTGAACACTTCCCTCGAGGATTTTTGAACATTTCACCACGGCAGAGATTGACGCAGTTTTCACTGTGCCGGAAAATTTCCTCCTTCACAATTGTTTGCATTCACCGCCACAATGCTAATATTCCCCAATCGCGTCTTCCACCCTTCGCCCATTCCTCGGCTGCATTGCAAAATTGTGTGTTGCGAAGAACAAACATTTTAGATGGAATTGTTGGCGGAAGAGATCTCGGGAATATTATCAGACACAATTGCAGCCACTGTACAAAGCACTTATTGCAATTTAATACGATATCATGCGGTAAAAAGGAGCGAAGGAGGAACGGCCATGAGTGGCGGGTTTCAGATGAAAAGCAGAGAAAAGTGTACTTCGACCACCAAGAGACTTGGAGGAATATTCCTCATAGAAAAAGGGGGGAGAAGAAGTGCAAGGCAAATAGTTGAGGAATATTCTAATAAGAAGCAGAAAGACGCTTACTTTCAAGCGAGACATGAATCACTATGAATTAAGGACACAACTGAGGGAGTTTTCCAGTCGAGATGTTCTGAGAACAGGTGTGTATTTTCTCAAGATCTCTTGATACAATTTCCCCGCAATATTTGACCACCAAACACGCATCTAAAGCTCCAAACTCCTAAACAACTTAGTCATAAGAGGCCGAAAATGAAATTATTTTAAAATATTCACCATATTGAGTCTCTCGAGATCTCATGTCCTCCTTAGCGCATAATTTATGGGCGCCTCTTCGTGCTCTCGACAGAGGACTAAAGCTCTCACCCAAAACCATCCAAGGGATGGTTTGAGGAAGCAATAGAAACTCAAACGGAATTGATTTAAAATACACTGGCAACATCTTAGCATAAATACAGGATCCCTTCCTGTAATGATTGAGTGAGAATCTTCCCTTTGTGGCTTTTTGCTGATCTCTGTGGGAAAAGCCAACCCGAGGAGATGAGTTTTGGGGCGAGAGGATGAGTCACATTATGTCATGTGTTTCCAAAATGGGGAGTGTGAGATGGAGTGGAATAAAATGATGATGTACCCTTTTTGAGTCAATGGCACACTCTCTCTCGCCCCTTATTGCGACTATGCATTAAACATTTACCATCGTCCGGTGAGGGAAAGCTCTCGGTCCTCCTTCTCTGGGGTGGACCACAGGCAAAGGAACTTTGGGCGAAAAAAGCTCACACAACGCATTATTGGCTATCGTCATTCAATTGGAAGGGAGCAGAAATGCTTTGCCTCTGCTGTTTCCCAACTTGCCATCACTGAGCAAAAGTTCGGCAATTGCGAGGGCGAGAGAGAGAGAGGGAGAGGGACAGAGAGGGATGAGGAAAGTCAAAACGTGAAGGATGAAGAATGAGGTGAGGGAAAGTGTGAGAAACAAGGGAGAGATAATATGCCCTAATTCTGCACACCACTTCAACATTTTGAGACTATTTGCACTCTAATTCCCAAATTAGAGTTATTCCCTCAGATTTCCAACCGATATTTCTGTGAAAAACCACTTAAAACTGCTTTTTTGGGTGTCTTTTCCGACCATAACCTAAAAATATCACTAAAAAACCTTAAGAAACTCTGTTTGGAAGCATTCTTGATCACAAAATTATCTCTTTTGATTTGCTAATGAACTCAAAACTGAGGATTTAAAAATTAAAATCGTACAGACAGTTTTCTGAATCAATATTTTTGAGGTTATGTTTGGTTTACTGCAACTTGCAGTGTTTTTTGGCATCATAGGACCAAAGTAGTAAAGTTAATTGCATTCAAACACAAAATTCTGCTAATAACTGGCGATTTCTGCGACTTGAGCATAAGAATTGATGTTCTAGAATCCGAACTGTTTCGGTAAATCTGTCCTTGATTCTTTACATAACCTAGAAAAGGATTATTATGATTGTTTCTTCGTAAAAATCAAAAGAAATGCAAAAAATAGGGATGATTTAGCCGTGAAAAAAGCACTTAAGGAAGGATTATTGTGAGTTTTTGAACACTTCTGCACTTCTTAAAACTCCCACTGAGCTGTACACCACTTCTGACTGTATTATCTCCCCCTTGGATGAGAAGCATTCACATTTTGGGCACATTTTTCAGACTCTCTTCTCATACACAATAAATCTCTTTATGATATAAAAATTATTATTAAATATACTAAAGAAGAGACGCTGAGAAAAAAAGAACTCATATCACGATGTCGATTCACCCCTGAGGAATAAAAGAGCGACAAGAGAGCGGAGATATATACAAACATTTACGCATTTTTGTGCAGAGATGTGTTCAGAATTTAATCAAGTGAATAAAATATTATCTATCTGTTTCTTATAGAACAGGGGGTTGGATCCAACACTATATGCATACATGAGCATATTTCATGACACACGAGGTGCCTTGAATTTTATTCCACACCCATTTGGAGAATCTTAAAAAGGAATGCCTTCACACAAACTCCGGCAATCTTGATAATATCCCCTAAACATTATGGCACAAAACCCTTCTCCGCTCACGTCTCACAAACTCCTGCCAAGGGCGCCTGGCTGTGGGGATGACACGGGGTGGAGCCCTGTCTCGAGCGCCCCACATTACCATCTTTATTATTATTGTTTATACGATGTAGTTAATATGGCAAATCAAAATATCTAAACGTGTAAAGCATCTGATATTACGAGAATTTCACTTTCTTCAACTCCCCATTGGCCATTTGGGGGCCATTTGGCAGGGGCTGCGAAGGTGCCAAAGTGAAAAAAATGCGGGCGACATTGAAAATTATATACCGACGGGTTTCACTTTTCTCCACCCCAAACTTCGCAGTCAAATGGCCCAATTTGGAGACCCGAAAGTTACCCCGGATGCCAGAGAGAGAGACTGTGTGAATCATCCTTATGGTGCGATATTGCTGAATTTCACGTGAATGTCGACCCACTCGTGGAGGAAATAGTTTACCCTCGAAAAAAAAAAAGAAAATGTATATTCAGTTTGGGACTTTCTAGTTTCGAGAGGGAGATGATTTGTCCTAAAGCGTAGCTGAAAAGTTCATGTGAATCACGAAAAGCGGTGGCTTTTCAGCTTAAAAGTCGCAATAGTGATGCCTCTTTAGTATTCATTTGGCGTTTGGGGCATCAAATCACTACCTTGTCCAATGTTTTGTATGCACAACAATGGGAACAAGAGAGATGTCGATGATGGGGAGCCGATGAGACACACTTCAAATCGAATTTCACGTTAAACAGCATCCGAGAGAGGGCGAAAGAATGGGAGAGGCGACAGCCCAGGGAGGAAGACGGAATAAGAATGGGGAGATAAAACAGACGGGTGAATCGTTCCACTTCAATTTTATCATTTGATGCTGTCGCACAATGTAATTCCCCTGCTAGACACACTGGGTGTGGAGGATTCTTTCGCCGGGAACTCCCCAATCTCATCCCCTGGCGCGCCATGGCTATATGTATAGCGCCAGGGGAGCGCCGAGTGTTTGTTTGATTTAAAATCACAGTTTTCTTAAGTGGAAAAACGCCATTTCTCTCCATTCCACCTTGCCGGCATTATGATACCCTTGGGGAATCGATATGCCATCCATTCATACACCTTCTCGCCGCCCATAAAAAACCATTCCGGCTAAACTCTTTGTCCAGGGATCATCCGGGGCCGTGGCTGAGAGGATGTGGCAACCGCTCATGAATGGGCGACATATTTCAGAGAGCCGAGCAAGGCGATGCCGAGGCTGTAACTCACTCGGGCGTGTTTGTTCTCTTCCGATTTCTATCAAACAATTTACACCATCGATCCGACACCGTGAATAAGGTGAGAAGAATTATCACAAATTACATCACATTCCCATTTGATGCAAAATGGAAAATGTCTCTCTGGGGGGCGGTGTTGCCGCTTATCGGCGCTCCCGATCGGAAATCCCTGATCAATGTTCAATTTCAAATTTTCAGCTTGGCAACGAGGGATTTTTTTTCCGGAAGAAAATGGAGTGTTTAACACCTCCAAAGTATAATTCTCAACGGCCAAAGGGTTGCATAAGACGTTAAAATGGGTCTCTAATTAGAAAATTCTCAGTAAACTATTTTCAGAAACCTTATATTTCACGGAATGTCTTTTGTATTGAATTTCACTCAATGCGGACGCTCAATATTTTCCAGTAGAAAAAGAAAGCTCTGTCAACCTTTTGATGGACATAATATGGCTTTTGCAAAGCGTATCACTTTATTTCATGGGAAATCACTTTTCAATGGTATCGGAGGTTATTGAGGTGAAACGGGTCAATTATTCTGTCATTAATAAAATTGTAGCATCAGAAACATTCCTCAAACCTATTCTGCCGCTGCTTCAGTGTTGTTTAGTATGACGAATGGTCAGAAAATGTTTCTCCAATTGACATGATAAACGGGGTCGAAAGGGGTTTCGGGTTGCCCTCCTGAACTGAGGCGGAGGAGGTGAAAAGGTATTCAAAATAGCCGCGTGAATGGTGTATAAAATTGTATTGGATGAAAGTGGCATGTGGAATTGAATAAGGGAAGTTTTTTTTTTAAAGGGATGCCAAGTGGAAAGGGGGGCAAAAGACATCCCCATAAACCCCACAGGGCGGCAGGTATGAGAGGAGTACAAAGTGGTGGATTTTGGCCATCAATCAAAAAGTGTGTTTTCACACACCATTAATTACGTTTACATTACATTCCGCATATATTGGAAACATTTGTGCCATTGAGCGCGCAGGCGAACACAGAGAGCCTATCCATCCGCAACTTTTTACACCCCATCCTCGCCCACAGAATGGTAAATTGTCCCTTTTCGGGGGAGATGTGACGACTGATTTGCATATAGATTGTGACGATGAGACTTTGGCGAAATGATCCTTTTGCTCTTAACGTATTCTCTTTGAATGAAAATGGAATTGCCGTTTCCACCCCAGGAGAGAGCTTTTTGTCTCCCATGCGATTCTTTCATCCCCCTCGATGGCTCATCGTCTGTTTGTCCTCCGCCAGGACGACGGCGTGTGTGTGTGTGTGTGTGTCTTTCTGTGACCAGCAGAGCGGAGTCCATTATTACTTTTGCAATTGATTGAGCCACACAGGTGACCATTGAACCCTTCAGTGGTTGACCGACACGACTGAGAGGAGGGTGTGCGGAAGATGAAACATTCTCCTTGTCAAGGGTCACAAATGCCTTTGTTTACAAGCTCCCCGCACCCTCAATTGGCCCAGAGTAATGTGATTACGATTATTATATGGCCATCTTGGTGGATAATCCTCTTATACACATTCTAGATAAGCCATATCACTCGACCCCCAGACAAACACACACACACACACACACACATATTCTGCAGCTTCCCGCAAGAGCGATTGTTGGCCACACGCCGCAGGGGAGGGAGTGCCAGCGCCAGGGATTTGCGGACACACGCGAGATTTGTTGACACTTCCATGGCACAAATCATAAGCACTTTGCCCTCTGTTAGACTAATCCACTTCCTTCCGCACACTTTACTCACATTTGTCCGCTGTGGCTTTAAGAACCCAAACAGCAAGCCCATAATTGGCTTCATTGTACTCTGGCTGCAATCTCCTTATTCACTCACAATTGCTGATACAGAAGATAAGTTCTCTATGGAGTACTTGCAGTTTCTGATACACAATGACAGAGAACTCGAAATAACCCACTTTTACTTCCAAACTTCGAAATTCTTCTGCATCTTCCACTCGTATCTTTCGCATATCCACAACGACACGGTCCATCACACAGTAGACAGCGAATTTTCTCATCCTGACGCACATTTTTCTGCTCCGACGGAACTATCAAATCGGAGCTTTTCCCGGAAAACCGTGCTGCAGGTATCATTAGCAATTGCAGCAGTAAAATTGTGAGGAACACTTTTCTTTTCATCACTCTTCCGTGCTTTGCCGTGCGACAGATTCAATAAAAATAACGTAATTGTTACTGTGCAAATTGAATTTATACTTTAGTGGCTTGTTAGTTTGCATATCAAATAACTGGGCGATAAAGTAATAAAATTAGAAATGGATTGTGAACGTAAAAATGTATTTTTTTTATTGCTTTCTCATTAAATTGCACTTTTGCATCAGATCGCGTAATCTCAATGCATGAGACGCATCACAAATGTGATTCATACGGTCTGAGAAATGCGCTATTTTATCTACAAAAGTGCTCCAAGATTTCATTACATGAATTTCAAATGGTTGAACTTGGTTGTATTGCTCCGTACTGAAAGCTGATGCACGCGAAAGATCCTGAAATAAATAATATAAAGCTATGAATCAATAAAGTCAATGAATCAAGTCAATCTTACTTGAATATTAAACAATTTTCCTGCATCTTCCTTTGCTGTCTCTTGCATATCCAGGTTGGCACGGAACATCACATAATAAGCAGCGTATTCCCGAATCTTTCTCCTTGCGAGGTATTATTAATTTCCCTGAAATTTCTCGAGGAGCTGCAAAGTCGGACTTTTTCTCGGAAAACTCCGCTGCAGTTATCATTATTAACTGCAGCAGCACAAAGAGAAGGAACACTTTTCTTTCCATGATTTCACGCGTTTACACTGCGATGATTTTAATCACAATGATAAGATTGACGCGTCGCAAATTGAATTTATAGGCAATGATCACTTGAGTCTGTTTACTTACACTATCACTGCAATTGATTGTGGCGATTGAGCAATTACAAATCGCCGGAGAATTTAATAATTCACTTGAAAATGCACCAAAGATTGTCACGATTGATTTTATATTAAACCTTTGGATCACAAATTCTGACAAATAATCTAATTCAGCAATTTGATGATTAATCGCATGCCATACATTTGGGGGTTATTTTGGACGCTGCAAAGTACGGATTAACCCTTTTTCGAGTTGCCATAATCCGTTGCCAAATCAATTATTCAAAAGCCACAGGGCGAAAAACTAGCACAATTCTCACAACCCTTCGCACGATGAAAGGCGAAAAAAAAAGTTGAAATAATCCACTACATGAATTACTCACCGTCCTAATTAGTGTTTCCTATTATCTCGAGAATCTCGCCTTCACGTGTGTGTGTTTGCGGTTTTTCTGGGGGTCGAACTTGGGAGTTCTCGGGCCAGTGGCCATGCGGAAAAAGTGGGAAAACGAAGGGGCGAATTGGACGGATATGCCAATCGATGGGATCAATCATTTCCACTTCATTTCATTCACCCCAACACGATTGCTCCGCACCGATTAATGCCCAATATTTTTCTCTTTCATTAAGCTATCGTCATCATCGTCATTCGTCCTGAAGTCTGGGATGGCTGATGGCGTGCGGGGGTGGGAAAGGGGAGCCAGAGGTCAGCAATTGCCGAATGCCCTCTGGCCGCATTCGCACTCGGATGGCCTTCTGGATGAGCAAACCTATCAGCAGTAACAAAATTTATTAGTGTCAACTCACTGATCAAATACCAAATGCAGTCGGTCTGAAACTGTCAACTTTACGGTCAACAACCAAGGGTGGGCATCCTGAATTCAATTACCATTGGAAATATGTGTAATTTACTCTGCGGACACTATAATGCCATTTGCTGTAAATGATTGAATTTGCAATAATTAAAATCTCCCGCACCATTGCACAGATCGCGCGTAATCTTGGCACATAAAGCTGCAGAGCAAAATCATTTGCATCGCGCATTTTCATCTTGAAAAAATCCCACTCTAAATTCGCAGTTTCAACCTGTATTTATTTTGTATACTTTCCATACAATTTACTTTATATTGCGAAGAAGAATATTTCACAGCAGCACACACAAAGTGCTTATCACTATTTTGACCACTTTGGCACTGTTATCTCTGATGTGTGACTATTCTGGCGTCTGCGAGTTCCACGATGTCTATTTCGGAATTTATTTCTTTCAATTTGACTTCTTCGCTCATACTTGGGTTCATCTCTAAACGTGAAATTGCGGGGCACTTGAAATTGCGGCCTCTGCAAAGAGAATGTGTACAATTTGCATATGTCGTTCTCATTGTTCATTACAAACATTTCACATTAGGAAAAAGCGGGTCAGTTTTTACACTCATTCACGTAATGATGCTTCATGTTTTTTCTCTCCTGATTTAATTTAGATTTGGCTTTTTGGCTATAAATTAGAGACAATAAACTTCTGCGGAAAATTCACTTCTTTTTAAGAATTCACAGATTCGGAAATACCTCACGAAAGTTCATGATTTTTCGGCACACGTGATGGCGATTCCTGCGATATCCTTCTTGGCACGGGGCGTTCATTACGGTCTCGGTCGAAACTTGCAGAGTGACAAATAGAAGCCACAGTAAAATTATGCACAATGGTTTGAAATCCATTTTTGCAGATGTCTTTGCACTTTCACAAATTTCCTCAAAATGCTTGAGCAAATTTGGATTCTCATAATTTATACACGTCTTATCAAGCTAAATTATTTACTTTGTGAAATTCTATTTATGGCCGTTGTTTAAGACAAGAAAATTCGCGAGAAATTTGATATGAAATCACTGTGTAGCAAAAAAATGTATATGAAATCTAGTACATCCGGTAAAATTTCCCAAGTTTATCAAATTTCTAGTTTAAACTATCCCGCTTTTCCGCTTCCTTATTTCACAGTTGCAGATATACATTACCTAATCGATGACCATTTGATATCTAATTTTCCTGCAATTCACTGGATAGTCTTCGATCTCATTTCCTCTTCCACACGGCGCAGTCGCTATTGACTCTTTGGGAGGCTTTGAAGATTTTCTTTCATAGGAATCTTCATCTGATCCTGATTCTGAATCCGATTCCGAATCCGAATCCGAATCAGATCTCGATCCTGATTCATCCGATTTATCCCAGCAAGAGCTTTTTCTTGCTTTTCTGCACCTTTTCTTTGATTCAGTCACTTCTAGAGTCAATAGGAAGAAACACAGCAAAACTGCAAAGCACAATTTGATATTCATTTCACTCGCGTCTTCACAGTGCCACAAATTAAATCACAATCACTGTGCTGAATGTCTAGGCATTCAATTTATACACAATATCACATCACTCAATAATCACTGAGTAAAATGTTGTTAGTGATAATCTTATAAAAAATAAACATTCGGAGGGAAAATCCAGAATTTCGGGTGATAATTTTTGTGTGGTAAAAAGCGTTTTGTGATAACATAATTTAATTGTATGGTTAATTACGCGTTACAAGCGTAAATTGTGTCTTTTTTGGGCACTTCAGGAATCTTAAACGCTGAAGAGTGCAAAAAAGAACTCCGTGTCAAGGCAACCAGCTTGACACTTTGCTGTCTTTCTCAGCTTCTCATCCTCACAATGCGCGCCTCTCATAAAAATATACGAAGAGTCTCTCCATTTCTATTCACTTCAGCGAAGAGTGGTATTTCTTGACAACTTACAAATCAGTTGGGAAACTTTCCACCCGACTTGCTCACCCGCCCCAAAGCGCTCCGCCTTCATCAGCGCGAAACTTGTCCGTGCGCCCTGGTGTGAGGGATGATAGTGAAATAAATACAAAGTGCCAGGTACAAATGATGATTTATGTAATAGAATTTCTATTGAATTTAACAAAGATAGGCACAGTGGAGGAATTTCACGGTGCAGAGTCAGGATGGAGCGAATTAAGTCCAATTATTCAGCACTATACACTCGAGGGATTACCCCATGGTATTCACCTCATTGTTTGAGACATGCTGCAATATTGCGCAAGAATTGATATGACTTGGGGATGGGGATGTGTGAGAAAATGTGACTTATTTGCATAATATAACTCATTGTGAGTGTGTATATCCTATAAGTTAAATTGTTGTGCAGTGCCTCGAGCGCTGGCGGACGTCGTGCAGCAAATTGAAGGGTTAACTGCAACTTTCCACCCGCTCTGCAGAGCGCCCCCAAATCCATGGCAAGGGAGTCCTTATCCTGTATTTTATTGCTGTTGTTCTTGCGCCTTCCAGTGGCATCATTTTCACATGGATGGAATTAAGGCAATTGTGCAAATTGCCATGCTTCAGACTTCAATATTTGCCTACTTATTGCAGCAAATTGTTGAGGCTGTGCTGATAGATATTACTCGAGCATGAGCTCCTTCAGACACGATGGAAATTCATCTGTGAATCGAAAGGACCTCAGCAGAAGGCATTTCGCCATGGCAATGCGCCTTTTCAAGTGTTTATATAGAAGCCAATATAATTGCCTATAGGGTAGAGCGGGGCGGATATGCAAAGTATCGACTTATGATTAATTTTCCAAATAGATGAAACGTTGAAAGGAAATTCTATTCGGCTTTGATTATGAGCAACGACTATGAACTGTGGTTTTCCCACAGGATTTCTCATTTTACGATATTTTGTACAAAATTGCCCCACTTTGGGGCAGTTTTAGACTCCAATTCAGTTATTTTTACTGCAAAATCCTAAAGAAATTATAAAGAAAGAATTTAAATAACTGAAGAACATTATTTCAGTGACAATAGATTTTTTAATGGAAAACCTTAATCATTTTTATTGGGATCTCTAGCTCAGCAAAGACACATTTAACGCAAAAATTAATTTTCTTTAATTTTTGCAAAAACTCTTTCGCGAAAATTTTGAAAATCGTCAAGTTTTCAACTAATTTGGCTAATTTCTAGAATATCTTCGCAAGGAATTTCACAATATCTGTGCTAATTTATCAAGACCTGTGATTGTGTGATGGTTTTATTCCTCAGCCTATCATGGCTTTGATGAGAAACGTGTTGCCCCGCTCTTCTCTATATGAATGTTGCTAGTGAATTGACATTAAAGCACCTCAAATATGCAATCATGTGTAATATTTAATAGTAAAATGACAAGAAAACTTCTCACGATTCTGTTGAAATTCGACACTTATGGTGTGAAAGTGTGTTGATATTTCCCTAAATTTTCAATTGGTAATATCCTTCATAAAATATATGCTGAAAAGTGCCATTTTCCCCATCTAATATTGCGCTCCGTGGCGAGGGTAAAAAATATACTGAGCCGTGCTCTCTGAGCGTGTCATATTTCCATACAAACGATATAAACCATATTGAGATTTGATTTATTGCTCTCTTGTTTCCCCCGTCAACCGTCTTAGATGTCTCTCTGTCGCTTTCCAGGCACCGTGAAAATGCCTCTTTAGACTTTTTTCCTCTCCTCTTTCCCACACATATTTCCTGTGTCGCAGACGCGCGCACAAAAAAAGGCTCTTTAGCATTTTGCACCATTTAAGATAAGCTCGCGATGTAAATGAATAAATTTGTTGAGCATTTGATGGTATGGATTTTTGCAGCAAATTCTTGGGATGTTTCAAATATTTGTGTGCCAGCGTTGGCACTTGGGGGGGAGGGAGGGGGTGTGAAAAAGCTCACATGCTTGAGAACATGTTCAGTGCATGTAGAACAATGGCTTTTGCGCCACTCTTTCGGCACGCGTTGTGGAATTTTCTTGGGTGAAGTATGTCGCGCGTGGCTTTTTTGGTCATCTCGCAGGAATTTGCCACCACTAAACTATTGGGGTGATGTGTTCACCCCGACTCATATACTCACGGAATATTTTTGTGCAGAAATTCCAGTAAATGAAACCCGCAGGGTAACTTCCATTTGGTCAGCGAAAGAGTGAATAATTTAT